ATTCTCAAGACTTTCACCAGAACCTCCGTAAAAGTGTTAATTTGCTCCGCCGCCAAAGCCTCCTGTATTTCTACATTGAGCCCCTGTACAAACCTTCTAACCCTCCTTTACTCCGTAGTTATCAATTCGGGAGCAAATTTCGATAGTTTAGTGAACTGAGTCTCGTACTCAGATATACTTAGGGTTCCCTGACGGAATTTAATAAACTCATCCTCCCTCTTTTCCTGAACTATCGGTGAAAGATATTTCTCATTAAACTCCCGCACAAAATTCACCAAAGTCCATGCAGTGCCATCTCTTTTCCATTTAACCCTAATTACATTCCACCAGGTCCTATCCGGTCCCTCAAATTGAAATATAGCGAAATACACCTGCTTATCCTCTGTATAGTTTAAGACAATGAAAATATTGATCATAGCCTCCAACCACCTCTCAGTTGCCTCAGGGTCCGGTCCTCCAAGAAACCTAGGAGGAGAAAACTTTTGGAATCTCTCCAGGGCTCAATCTTGTCCCATTTCAGGGTCTTTAGGCTGATTAACATGGGTTTGACCCTGCTGCTCTACTAGTCGAGTAAGAATATTAGTCATCTGTTGAATCGCCGTTGCTACCTGATCCCCCCTACGGCCTGGGGTCCAAGTTGCGGTTCAACTGTGTCACCTCTTTCCTCTTTCAGTTCCCATACTGGTTCTTGTGCCTGTCTAGCCCCACGGCCACGGCTAGAACAGCGTCCTCGAGTAGTTCCACGTTCTTGACTCCGTCTACCCTCCATATCTCTTTTGAACAATAGCCGATATAAGTATAAGAAAAATAAAGTAGCTATAAAGTTCGATAAAAGTATTTTCAAATCATAAAGTGGAAAATAATAGAGCACATTAAAAATAACATACTTTCTTTCTATACATGTCATAACAATTCACATTTCCTTATGGAACATTAACTCCAGGTATTGCTCAAGCACAACACTTAAGCAAAACTCGAAGAAGTATAACCAGGTATGTACACTTGCATACTAAAGGTCCCAATTCTCCATAATATCTTCAATCTATCCCCAAGTTCAGACTATTCGCATTTCCTGCGCCTTGGCCTTCGCCATCCATACTCATTCTAATATTACTCGAAATATCGACTTATCATAACGGTATCATTCTTTGGTACTCAGGTACAAAAATTCAAAATAAGATAATTCACAACTCGAGCTGGCCAATCCCCAAGAGTAAATCATCTACTTTTGAGATTTTTACCCAACATACATATCTAATATCTCAAACAATGAACATTCGTTTCACACTTAACACGCTAATCCCCACAGTCCGAGAACTCTTTCCCGACACGAGCTCGATAAGAGTTCTGATACCATCAATGACGACCCCACCTCCCCCTAGGGCATACCCCAGGGTTTAGCGGACTGCTTGCCCAACTCTTGTCAGGACTCACTTACGCGTAACTCGAGAAAGATACCACGCCATAGAGAAGAAATGAAACAACAATCTCAAACTTAACATATACATTGATGTTCAAATCCAACTACAAGGTTTATACACGCCTAAAACATTAAAGTATTTACAATCCAAGTGAAATCAACCCTAGTCGGGTGTTAGTCCGAATACAATTGTAAAATTCAAAAACTAGACTACGCTAGTCTGTACAAGTCTCATGCCTCGCTCGTACCCCCTGTAAGGAAAACAAATGGCATGGAATGAGTTAAAATCTCAGTGAGGTTCCAAATAGCAAGTTGACCGTGATTTAAAAGTACAAGTATCAACGTAGAAAATAGCGAGTATAACAAGTTCATAAAAGTGAATAATAACACTTCAAGTAGCAAATCTCTAAATGAACGAGTGTAAAGTGTTTTGTTTTTCAAAAGAAACAATAATCCAATAAGTAATAATCATTTCAAAGTTTTAGGATACGGATGGCTCTCAAGAGCCAAGTTCCCGTTGTTTCACCAGAGTTTGATCAAATATTAGTTGACACTCCATCAACTTTCAAGTAAAGTAACCAATCTAGTTGTACTTTGCTTAACTCCAATCCGTCCACCATTCAACCCCCTTACCGGGCCCGAACACCAACTAAACACTGATGGTAATATTCGATTATACCGATTAGTCGAGGAGATAACACTCCACTCGAGAACACTAGATAACCATGGTTCGTTATCTAATCGACCAAACCCTTGCCGGTTCGACTCGATTAACTAGCCAGTGGGGTTTGGGTCCCCAAGAAATCGATGAGATAACATCTTCAATCGACTGAATCAAAATAAAAGTACGGAGACAGGAATGAGATGCACCTCCCACTCACATTGAGTGTGGTACATGCTGCCGCTCAGCACTTACAAGTTAAGTACAAGTATATCAAGTCAATTGCAACAATAAACAAGTATATATCATATTAGGGCAAGTGCGATAAAGTACACTCTTACCCGATTCAACAAATTACATGTCATTAAATCACATGGGTCAAGTATTGAAAACAAGTGTCCAGTTCAATCAGGTATTTGGAAGCATTCACCAAAGATGTGGTGTCTTTACGGATCACGTTCAGGTATTACTCCTTGTTTGGAGTCCAAGTCTGTGATAAAATATTGTTTAAGAGTTTTGAAATTCAACTAAGGTTCGAAACTTAAACGTTTCATTTAACAAAAATCAAATAATTACAACTCATTTGGAGAATATTCGTAAAACTTATGCTCGCTCTTAAAACTTTGAAATCCCCATTTGAGTCGAAGAAATGGAGAAAACGTATTTCTATTAGTTGTAAATTTCATTTTACCAAGGGTATAAGTTTCGGCCGAATGCTAACTTATAAACCTCTATGAAACAAGAGTTGAATACCCTAGACGATTCAGATTCGATTCGTCCTCAAACCCTTACTCAAGTCATGAGTATACCTACCTAACTTTCGAGTTAAAATTTGGGCAGCACGCCCTTTGTTTTTACCTATTTTCCAGCCATTTGTGACTTCATTATTTTTCATAATTTAGCCCCAAAATACATACAAATAATCTCATCACAATAGCCGTTCAATAGGCTCAAAATCATCCAAGTACAATACAAGTATAATAATCCAATCAAAAATCAAGTTTGAAGGCAAAAGACTAAATGGCAGATTCGACATCTTATAACATTTTGGTCACAAATAGAGTTACGTTTATCGGATTGGAGTGAACTTTATACCGTGTTGAAGCTAAGACAAAGGGTTACGACTTTCATGAAGACAACTCAACCCAATTCACAATTGATCCAGGTCGAAATTACAGATTACAAAACCAGAATGTCCTTGTCAATTGGTTGTCAGTACTGAATTCAAATGACAATAACTCAGGCTACACAATTCCGTTTTATGTGTTTTTAGATGCATTGGAAAGCTAAAATATAGGGCTAAAAGTTTCATGTTTTGGCCAAAGGCTGATTTGATACGGATCAAGGTGAAAAATGAAGCCAGAATGATGAAATGTCAAAACTGTTCGCAAAACTATACCTTTGGCAGTCAAGGGTATTTTTATCATTTCACATGCTACAATACTCGAATTGAGCTAAAATTTTACAGGCAACTATAAAATATCATTTTATACAACTGTCATGTTTTAACCTAAGCCCAATTCGTCCTCCATCATATATGAATAGAACTGGTCAGAACAGAGCATTTGAAATCCTTAAATCTGGAATTTAATACATTCAAGGTATAAACTTCACATTTCTAGCTTGAATTACTACTTTACTTCCTATACAAGATTATAGACATCATATACTCTCTAAACAACAAGGAATACAACTGAACCATCCAAACCCTAACTCAAAATCCACCAAAAATCATCAAAACTACTTAGATAACTCGCACAAGCCAAGAATTTAAGTTGTTATACAAACTTAAACAAGCTTAAGGGATAGAAATAGGATGGACAGCCATAATACCTCACTAAGATGCTTGCAAGAGATATCCACCACCTCTCCTTGTAAACTTTTAGCACACCAAACTTCCCAAGTGCTCAAAGAAAGGATTAATCGGTTTAGATTCTTAATTTTTCACTCAACTAAGCTAGGAATCAAGATTGAAATGAAGTGGTCTTTACTCTTTTCTTTTTCCTCTCATAAGTCACGACCAAGATGAAGGAAAATGAAGAAAAATGAGCCAACAAGAAAGATAAAAAGAAAGGAAAATGTCTTGGTCAAAGGTCTTGGTCAAGACCTTGGTTAGATTTTTGACAAATGGTTTAATCACAAATATCTCTCTTTTCCTTAGTCAATAATGGTGGCTAACTTAAGGGTTAATTAAGAGCTAATTTGCTCAACTAAAACAAGGAGATTAAGGTAATAAAGTGGTGGTCAAGTGGTATATTCAATCGGTAGTGAACGGTACACGTCGGTTCAAACCGATTTTCCTTAAATCGCGTGTACTAGGGTTTTATCTTATGATTAACTAACTTATTATTCTCACTTCTAATCACACACTTAATATCATCTAAAACTCACTCTTAATTATCAAATTTAGTACACACTTTGTACCGAGTAATCACACTTCCAAAAGACGTAAAAACCCTCGTTTACCTTAACGATGGAAGTAAAGGAAAAATCCTTGGTTCTGTGATTAATTGTAACTATTGAGAAAGTGAATAAGTAGTAAAGTTATTGTAAGGTAATAAATTCCAAATAAAAGGAAATTTTAAGAAAATATAAGGGATTTTACAAGTCCTCACACTCTCTCCCCCTTAAAAGAATTTCGTCTTCGAAATTCATGCATATATCCGTAAATAACTCATGGTATTTTTCTTACATGTCATTCTTTAGCTCCCAAATCTCACCATTAGCCAAACATGTAGCCAAACAAGGGAAAACATGAATTGTACCTTGGTGGTCTAAAGCATATACTCTAGCTGGCACTCTGGATTTATCCCCTCCTCTATTCGGTTGTTTAGGGTTTGATGTATCGGCTGGTTGGGTATCGCTAATCAGTGGACAATTGGCGATCTGGTGCTCAGTACTTTCACACCGTAAACACCTTCAAGCCTTTCGCCAGCAATTAGCTTCTGTGTGGTTGGATTTTCCATAGTATCCACAAGATACTCGAGGGGCTGGGGTCTGACCTCCTTGCAAGGCACCTCTTGCTTGCCCCCTTCCACCTGAGGCCCCTCTTGAAGTAATTTTCTTAGGTGTCCCCAAAATTTCCTCACCACCATCTCCTCGATCCATCTTAGAGGGTGGCCTACCTAGATCACCTTGGTCGTGTCCCTGACTTCCACCAGGTGCACCTCTCCTTTTTGCATGAAAAACCCTTACTTGTGCCTTAGCAATTTCTATTCTCTGGATTTTCTCCAGAACCTCCATAAAAGTATTAATTTGGGCTGCCGCCAAAGCCTCCTGTATTTCTACATTGAGTCCCTGTACAAACCTTCTAATCCTTCTTTGCTCCGTAGTTATCAATTCGGGAGCAAATTTCAATAGTTTAGTGAACTGAGTCTCGTACTCAGATATACTTAAGGTTCCCTGACAGAGTTTAATAAACTTATCCTCCCTCTTTTCTTGAACTATCGGTGGAAGATATTTCTCATTAAACTCCCGCACAAAATTTACTAAAGTCCATGCAATCCCCTCTCTTTTCCATTTAGCCCTAATTACATTCCACCAGGTCTTAGCTGGTCCCTCAAATTGAAATATAGCGAAATGCACCTGCTTATCCTCCGTATAGTTTAAGGCAACGAAAATATTGATCATAGCCTCCAACCACCTCTCAGCTGCCTCAGGGTCCGGTCCTCCAAGAAACTTAGGAGGAGAAAACTTTTGAAATCTCTCCAGGGCCCTATCTTGTCCCATTTCAGGGTCTCTAGGCTGATTAACAGGGGTTTGATCCTGCTGCTCTACTAGTCGAGCAAGAATATTAGTCATCTGTTGAATCGCCGTTGCTACCTGATCCCCCCTACGGCCTAGGATCCAGGTTGCGATTCAACTGTTTCACCTCTTTCCTCTCTCAGTTCCCGTACTGGTTCTTGTGCCTGTCTAATCTCACTGCCACGGCTAGAACCGCGTCCTCGAGTAGTTCCACATCCTTGATTCCGCCTACCCTCCATATCTCTTTTGAACAATAGCCGATATAAGTATAAGAAAAATAAAGTAGCTATAAAGTTCGATAAAAGCATTTTCAAATCATAAAGTGGAAAATAATAGAACACATTGAAAATAACATACTTTCTTTCTATACATGTCATAGCAATTCACATTTTCTTATGGACCATTAACCTCAGGTATTGTTCAAGCACAACACTTAAGCAAAACTCGAAGAAGTATAACCAGGTATGTACACTTGCATACTAAAGGTCCCAATTCTCCATAATATCTTCAATCTATCCCCAAGTTCAGACTATTCGCATTCCCTGTGCCTTGGCTTTCGCCATCCATACTCAATCTAATATTATTTGAGATATCGACTTATCATAACGGTATTACTCTTTGGTACTCAGGTACAAGAATCCAAAATAAGATAATTCACAACTCGAGTTGGCCAGTCCCCAAGAGTAAATCATTTACTTTTGAGATTCCTACCCAACATACATATCTAATATCTCAAACAATGGACATTCATTCCACACTTAACAAGCCAATCCCCACAGTCCGAGAACCCTCACCCGGCACGAGGTCGAGAAGAGATCTGATACCATCTATGACGACTACACCTCCCTCTAGGGCGTACCCAAGGGTTTAGCGGATCGCCTACCCAGCTTTCGCCAAGACTCACTCACGCGTAACTCGAGAAAGATACCACGTCCATAGAGAAGAAATGAAACAACAATCTCAAACTTAACATATACATTGATGTTCAAATCCAGTTACAAGGTTTATACACGCCCAAAATATTAAAGTATTTACAATCCAAGTAAAATCAACCCTAGTCGGGTGTTAGCACGAGTACAATTGCAAAATCCAAAAACTAGACTGCGCTAATCTGTACAAGTCTCATGCCTCGCTCATACCCCCTGTAAGGAAAACAAATGGCGTGGAATGAGCTAAAAATCCAGCGAGATTCCAAATAGCAAGTTGACCGTTATTTAAAAGTACAAGTATCAACGTAGAAAAATAGCAAGTATAACAAGTTCATAAAAGTGAACAATAACACTTCAAGTAGCAAATCTCTAAATGAACGAGTGTAAAGTGTTTTGTTTTTCAAAAGAAACAATAATCCAATAAACAATAATCATTTCAAAGTATTAGGATACGGATGGCTCTCAAGAGCCAAGTTCCCGTTGCTTCACCAGAGTTTGATCAAGTATTAGTTGACACTCCGTCAACTTTCAAGTAAAGTAACCAATCCAATAGTACTTCGCTTAACTCCAATCCTTCCACCATTCAACCCCCTTACCGGACCCGAACACTAACTAAACACTGATGGTAATACTCGATTATACCGATTAATCGAGGAAATAACACTCCACTCGACAACACTAGATACCCATGGTTCGTTATCTAATCGACCAAACCCTTGCCGACTCGACTAGATTAACTAGTCAGTAGGGTTTGGGTCCCTAAGAAATCGATGAGATAACATCTCCAATCGACTGAATCAAAATAAAAGTACGGAGATGGGAATGAGAGGCACCTCCCACTCACATTGAGTGTGGTACATGCTGCCGCTCAACACTTACAAGTTAAGTACAAGTATATCAAGTCAATTGCAACAATAAATAAGTATATATCATATTAGGGCAAGTGCGATAAAGTACACTCTTACCCGATTCAACAAATTACATGTCATTAAATCACATGGGTCAAGTATTGAAAACAAGTGTCCAGTTCAACCAGGTATTTGGAAGCACTCACAAAAGATGTATTGCCTTTACGGATCACGTTCAGGTATTACTCCTTGTTTGGAGTCCAAGTCTGCGATAAAATATTGTTTAAGAGCTTTGAAATTCAACTAAGGTTCGAAAATTAAATGTTTCATTTAACAAAAATCAAATAATTATAGTGGGGAAACTAGCAACTCAAGGCCGACCCCTCAACCGTTGCGCCATATGCCCTGGGGGCACTTTCGTCTTATTATTTGAACTATATGTCGAAGTATTGTAGCTATTTCCTTTCCACTATGGACATATGACTATTTTTGAGGGCGTTGAAGTCATCTTTTCAAAATTTTGGATGTAAAATTTCAAACTAATATCTGTCTTTTTCCTGTGAAGGGCAAAGTGTATAATGTCTGTCTTTTTCGCGTAGGGTACAAAGTGTATATTTTGAGTTTATGTTAGTACAAAAAATCACGCAATGGAAGTAACATCAAAATTTTATAAATAATAAATAATAAGAAATGCATGGAAGGAAACAAAATATTCTGTTTCAATTCACTAATTTCACTCAATTATAAAAGTCGGACTTCAAGTCCTTAAATAGACAAACATGACCATGAATCATATTATGATTATAATATCAAAATATGGCTCAACTCTATTTTCTAAATCAACTGTAATACCAAAATCTAATATAGTTACCAAATAACAAATCAACTTCTAAAACTATTAAAATTCTAAATATACTTGGTTTAATTATTCCAACATTATCTCCCTTAAACCAAACTCTTGTTGTTATCTCCAATATCGTCACGAGTTTGAATTGCCTCTGTAGTCTCTCTAGCAATGTAACTCACATCACATGAAAGTCCAATTTATTTTTAACCTTTATCTTCTTCAGTGAGAGTAGAGCATACTTGTACTTTGCACACAACTCCGCTCTAATCCCGCTTGAACAAAAATTCATCCATATTAACCCATCCACCATTAAAGCCTCCATATCCATGATAATCATTCACACGGTCTTTAAAAAATAATTTATGCCTTTCTTATTGCCAACAGTTTCAAATTTCAAGATTGCCAATGGATTCATCCACTCCACAAGTACCACCAAGTCCTTTTATATCTTCATTAGGAATCAAATTAATGCACTCACTCACGAATTCCTCTTCATCAATCATCCCAAACAAAGTATGCAAAATCATAATTTTCAACCATATCAAAAACTTGAAAAGCCTCTTTAACAACAAACATATCTTTTTCCAAATTAATTTCTCATATCAAATCAAGTTTTGATTTATAATTAGACTCATAATCATACTCCATCAAATTAAAATAGAGATCTAACCAAAAACATTTAGGCATTTTAAAATCAATAAAGAGTCTCATATAATATTCTTCAACCATGGATTTCTACATAATCCTGAAAAAAAAAACTTTCGCTTCTTTTTCTTGTGTTCTTTTGGCAAGCGATAGAAAGAAATTATTTTAAGAAAGTCACCCAACATCTTGTGAGATATTTTTCTATTATTTTTTCCCATTCTCTCTTCAATAGTACTCAGTGTATGCAAAATTTTTAATTTTTTACCATTGACAAATTCTTTTTCTCCGGCAAGTTAAAACAATTTACGTACCTTCACAAGATTTTTTTTCTTCTCCGCTTGAATTTCTTGGCCTTCCTGGCTTCAAGTTTGATCAAACACTACTGTGACAATCAACAATCTGGCAGAATTTTTTTTCCTGATCACTGCACAACACCAACAATCTCAACAGAGTCCCTCCTTTTAGATCTCTATCCAATTAGGATCACTTTTTCCTGATTCCAATTAACGAATGAGTATTGCAAAACCAACATGCACAACCAACACTTGTGGTCCAATTTTTCAATACATAAGTGCTCTGCCACAACCTCTGTACCCTTTTATGGCACATGATTCTCTATCACAAATTCTGTAAACCCTTTAAGCACTATAGACATCCCAAGATCAAACTCTTGAACCTAGAACTCTGATACCACTTATTAGCACAAAAAACACACAGCAGAAGTAATATTAAAATTTTACAAATAATAAATAGTAAGAAAGGCAACGGAGGAAACAAAATATTCTGCACCAATTCACTAATTTCCCTCAATTGCAAAAGTCAAATTTCAAGTCCCTAAATAGAGAAACATTACCATAAATCCTATTCTAATTATAATACCAAAACATGACTCAACCATATTTCTTAAACCAACTCTGGTACCAAACCTAATATAGTTACTAAATAACAAATAAATTTTAAAACTCTTAAAATTTTAAATATGCTTGGTTTAATTATTCCACAATTTAGGGGGACAAAATGTTACTTGGCATCTAGTTCAGGGGCGAAGTGTAAGTAACCCTAATTAGTACGCCCAAAAAATCCCTAATCAAAATATGTCTTAACAAGAAGTAATTGCATCACTGATCCTTAACGTTTTCTTATCTGGATAAGGAATTTAAGACATAATTTCAAAAAATCAGACATATAATCTTAAACTGAAAAGATACGAAAACACCAAACTATATCATTGGTTTCATAAGAAAACATGTACAGGATCAAGGTCTAGCTAGCGAAAATTAGACCATTAAAATAAAAGAGCTAAAATATGACTAGTTGATGAGTATCCAAATTTCATTAAGGTGGGGAGGTTGGACTGGGTGGTATGGGGGAGGAAGTGTAATTGAGAGGTTTCGAGTTCGAAACCTCTTACTTACGCTAAAATAAAAAAGAAAAAGAAAAAATCCCATCAAGTGGGTCTAATAGCTGCATGCAGTGATAATCGAAATTCAAAACTTGATTTAGTTTACAATTTCTTTGGATAAACTTAGTTAAATCAGAGTGAATTTTTACCCCATGTAATACAAAATAGTATTCAGAGTGACTCAAGATCCATCTATTAATAGAACTCGTCCATCTTCTTTTACAGATTCTATCTACATTGCACATTTACAATTTCTTTTTTATGAGATTGAGCTCTGATTGTATAGTTACTTTTGGGAATCACCTCTCATTTTGTGTATGCTACTTTTTTGTTTTTCAGTTCATATCAATGTATACAAAATCAGTTTTTTTTTTGTATTTTTTTTA